TCATTTATAGCGAACTTCTGCTTTCTGTGAAGAGTAATTGTCAGTCAGGAATATCGAATAATTAAAAGGAACACAAGTGGTATTTTGGTTCTTTTGAAGACTGTGAGACGAATGAAGATCAATTTCTGGGACCCCTTCAAAAGTTATATTTCTGTCTTTTTTTTGCATAGAATGCATATAAGACTATTGTATTTTTAGTCAGTGGTTCAGTCGAGGGTATAGCGAGTCTGCCTCGACGAGCGTTGCTAGTTTCTGGATGTTTCGAATAAAAACTGAACATATCTTTTTTTGTTTTTCCGTATTTGAGAATTTATAATATTCATACTTGTTCACTTTCTTATAGTATTCTAAAATATAAGTTAATATTCTCGATAAAAGAAAAGAAATATTCAAAAAAATCAAGAATTATTTCATTGATAAACACAATAAGTAGAGACGATATTGAGAGAAGCATCTTTTTGTGATATATTTGTTGAATTTAGTATGGAAAACAACAGGAAGTATGAATTACGTACGAGAATATCACACAGCATCCGTCTTAGCAAATGGATCGGTGTTAGTCACAGGTGGAGAGACTACTGGTAATGGTTTATTGAACAGTGCTGAGTTATACAATCCATTCACAGGTACTTGGACAACAACAGGAAATATGAATTATGGACGAGAACAACACATAGCATCCATCTTAGCAAATGGATCGGTGTTAGTTACAGGTGGATACAATGGTAGTCACTTGAACAGTGCTGAGTTATACAATCCATTCACAGGTACTTGGACAACAATAAGAAACATGAATTATGGACGAGCATGCCACACAGCATCCGTCTTAGCAAATGGATCGGTGTTAGTTACAGGTGGAGACTATGATAGTGGTTCCTTGAACAGTGCTGAGTTATACAATCCATTCACAGGTACTTGGACAACAACAGGAAATATGAGTTATGTACGATCAGATCACACAGCATCCATCTTAGCAAATGGATCGGTGTTAGTTACAGGTGGATACAATGGTGCTTCCTTGAACAGTGCTGAGTTATACAATCCATTCACAGGTACTTGGACAACAACAGGAAATATGAGTTATACACGATACTTTCACACAGCATCCGTCTTAGCAAACGGATCGGTGTTAGTTACAGGTGGATTCAATTATAGTTATTACTTGAACAGTGCTGAGTTATACAATCCATTAACAGGTACTTGGACAACAACAGGAAATATGAATTATGGGCGAGAACACCACACAGCATCCATCTTAGCAAATGGATCGGTGTTAGTTACAGGTGGATACAATGGTGTTTACTTGAACAGTGCCGAATTATATTAATGGAGATTCATTATGATATGATTTCATTTTATGAATTGGCGGATAAAAATTCTTGTTGTAAACCACTTTTTCTATTCTTCACTGCTTTTGTTTATGTGACTCTATAGTGCATTATGGTCTGATTGTTCTTTTTTTTTTTGAAAACTTATCATATCACATTATTATTTATTGGGCAGCAGTTGCAGAATACTAACTAAGCAGAATTCAGAATTTTGTCCACAAGTTTTTAGGAATAAATAAATAAATAAGTAAATATATATATACACAAGTGAAGTGATTAGAAGTCTGCATAGAGTTCTGCTTCTGATACATAACGCAAATAGTAAAAGAAATCAAAGACAAATATACAGAATTCTGCTTGCAAAACTTCAATAGTAAATGGAATCAAAAACAAAGATACTGAATTCTGCTTGAATGATCAGAATTCTGTTTTGCCTGAGAGATTGACGAGGTGGGTTAATTGGAAATAATCCGCTTGTTACCCAAAGGTTTTTGGATTAGCAACTTCTGGTACCTGTAACGACAAACTTTATTCAAGGTGATTCAACTGACTTTATTTCAACCAAACATTTCCTTTTATATCCGTTCCCTCTGTTCTCTTTTCTTTTTAGCGCATCGGTCAAGAGAGAACAGGGAGAGAAAGAGACGGACAGAGAGAAACATGAAGAAGAGAAAAGAATCATTAGATGAACTGATGAAGATGAACTCACTATGAGACGAGATGCATAGATATAATGAACAGAAAGGAGAGGATGATAATATATACATGAGTCATCTATCTGTGTTTGAAAGATTAATTGATGAATACACAAGTGTTGTCGTAGGAACACTATCTAATTGTAAATTATTAACGCATTCGATTTCATCATATGAATCATTAGGAGAAGAAAAACCACCATAGAAAGTAATCAATGATAATAGATGTTTAAAATCAATTTGATCTATTGAAACTAAATGAAGTGATGTTACTTTAGACCATAATCGATTATTTTGTTTTAGAAATTCATCATTATTTGATCGAACATTTCGAAAATGATGAAAATTCTTTAATTCATGGAATGAAAATGGAAGAGAATACAATTCAGTGTTTCCATGTATACCAATCGAACTAGAAAATCTTGTAAACGTCGAATTGTCGATAATATTTGTTGAGCATCTTTACATTGAGAAATACCAACATAAAAAGAAAACTTTTGTAATTTTCCAAGTGGTTCTAATAATTTCTTTTCTAATTCAATACCATTGGTTAGAATATTATTTTGATCTATAAGATATATATTACTAAAATTCAATGATAGAGTAATTAGCGATGATGAAAAGATTTGAATAACAGGAAATAATTGAGCAAGACTAGTTGTTAGACTAGTTGATGAATATTCTAAATTTGTTCTTGATGTAAATGTTAGGTGAAATTCTTCTAAATTAATTTCATCAATATTATTCCAGGTATATTCTTTAAATTCTCGATCAAGGATTTCTGATCGAATATTTAAATAAATTAAATTCGATGTATATCGAATAAGAGTGAATATATCATGAAATTTCCTATATTTAATGTTAATGAACATATATGAATGTTTGAGTTTAAGTTCACAAGATATACACGGAATAATCTGTTTCACTTTGGTTGATATTCAAATATTTGAAGTTTATTATTAATATGAAAAATAGTTTTTAATAAAGTTTCTTCATCGTCTAAAATAACGTTTTTGATTTTAAATATATGTAATTGTCGAAAATACGGATGATTGAGAATGGATAAAAGTTGTTCATCAAGTAAAAAATATTGTGAAGAGATAATAATTGATGTTAGATTTGAAAAGAAATCTAATGATATTGTCAAATCATAAGTATTAATTGATAATGTTTGAATTTGTGGGCCAATTAATGGTAAAATTTTCTTCCAAAAATTCAGATTTGTTTTTGGTAAGTTGAAATGATATTTTTGTATAACTAGAAGATTTTGTAATCGTTGGTTACAATGAATAAATGAATAAATAATATCATTTGATGTTAAATAATCAAATATATGAAGAATTTCATTTGGTAAAATATCAAATGACGATATGAATTTGATTTTCATTGGAATAAAGTCCGACATTGTTTTGCTATTGATTTTATTAAGAAAGAAAAGTATACTTTTTACATATAGAAATGAGATAAATAGATATTATCAATTCATTCGTTAGATTCCTCCTTATCTACTGAATGAAGACTTCATCTTTCTACTTAATATGTTAAACAAAAGAATAACAGAAGAAAATCTACTAGTTTGCTCATCACAAATTTGAGCTTGTTCACTGGCTTGCAGAGTTTCTGCTATAAGACATGACTCAGTGACCTAACCGGAAGGATAAAGATGATCGTCCCTATCTTTCTCTTGTGGTTTGAAGTAGTGAGATCTCTAGTTTATGATATGCAACTAACTTAGAGTTCAGAATGTAACCACATAAGAAACGTGAGTTAATGAATAGATTATTATTTCACTATTAAATAATGAGATATTATTGATAGATCAGTATAATAAATAATGTGATTCGTAAGAATTATTGATAATCTATGTACATTTTATTGATCATTTATCTTACGGGTCGATCAAATGATAGGGGTTGAAAAAATGAATCTGAATGCTCAACACAAAACTACAATTCTCGAATGTTGCAGCAGTGGTCACACAGCTATGCACTGGAAAAATCAAAGTTTACGAATTTGCAACGTATTATAAACTTTTTTATCCGTTTATGAAGCACCTCATAAAAGAAAAACCTTTTATAGTCTCTTCAAATACAGTTAAAGAAGAGTTTGCTATACGTTGAGGGCTCACAAGCTCTTTTTCTGTTGATTAGGGTATCAAAAACGATTTTATTGTTGATATTTCTCCACTTTTTCTCATAATGCAATCCTTCTCCTATTCTCAAAATCGCCACAAAATCAGCGGCTTAATCGTCCACTCCTTACTGAGGGTGAGGGTATTTAGTGTCGTTCCTAGATCTAAAACATTACCTATATTGTAAAATGTCGCTATACATCTACAGGATATTATATTCTAAACAGCAACCAGCAATTTGTAATAATCTGCGAAATTTATTGTTTTTTTAGAATTTTAAATAAAAGATATTGACTACATCGATTTTTGCTGTTACGATTATAAATAATAAAATATTTATCTATTTCTCTTTCAAGTAAAAGTAAACTAATGTCTGTCCAAAAAGTCCGTGCGTGCGGCTATTTTTTGAATAATTTTTGTTAGGAACAAGAGAGAGATTTGCGGTTTTCGGCGTTCGATAGCCAAGATGAAGGGGCATCTTTTCATTAGCAAAAAGTCTCTTAAGTTGCAAACTCGAAGGTAACTTTGGAACTGTATAAACAGTTTTATGATCAGACTTAGGTTCTTTTTTCTGTTTGGTGAACTGTATGAGCTACTTGTAGACAGCGAGACATGGCAGAAAATAAGCCCAAAACCGTTTATATGTTGTTGTCAATTCCGTTTCACTTTTCAATGCTTTATCTTTCGTTAATTGATACTGATACTAGCACTATCAAAGCTACATCTATGATAAATTCAAACGACATCTGTCACAGAAGGGTGTGAGTGTTGATTAGATGAAAAAGAGGCAAGCACACTCGTATCCACATCCGATACCCTCAGCATATCGGATCTTATTTTTGAAAGGTCTGTAGTCTTTTTATAAGTAACTTTCGAAGCGATCACATTATGAGTAAAATAAAGTGTTCGACATGTTCTTTCAAATATTTACGCTTTGTTTAGATGGACTAGTTCCATTCCATCGTTATAGTCAGGGTGCTTATAATCATTTCTATACCATAAATCCAAATGAAATTGGCACCATTACTCCTGGCAGCACCGGTCTTGGCAATT